GTAAATATTATATGTCTGACCTTGAAAAGTAATAGGTAATAAACCGTTGATATTGAGATCTTTTAAATATACATAAACTTGGCGGCGAAAAGACTTTACATGTTTCAGTGCTGGTCTTTTGCACCCGAGTGGGATCGCTCGCACCGCGCTCATGACACGCCCGTATTTAGCTAAGGCATCTGTAATAAAATTGTCAGGTAAAAAAGGGGGAACATTTGATAGCACAATTTTTGTAGAGGGGCGGACAAGAGGTTCAACAGAAACATGGAGGTCTCCAATGTCAAGGCCAGCGGCAGAAACCATGTCGACCCATGTAACCTTATTTAAAAAGACAATAACCGATCGGTTCATACGGGATGCAGCCACAATATTACTGGCCCCGACTAAATCTGCAACCGACTCCACATAAGTTTCAACAGGAATGCCATCAATGTTTTCACACCGTACCGCATGGTTTCTAGTAAGGTGACCTGTTGGTGTTGACGGTGGCCTTGTGTGAGCGGCAGCCATCTTGCTGGCCGACCACCTTGCCAAGGCAAAGGCAAAAACACTCCAAAACACACAATAATAACGATTATATTATGTATTTATGTATTATAACATGTTATGTTATTATAGATTGTTATTGGAAGTCTCAGTCCAAATTTTGAACTACATGGTTCGACAACACAGACAATCTACGTGGATTGCATGCAAGATTCTGGACCAGATGATACGTATGCTGTAAGCGTGCAGATTAACGACATTGACGAAACTCCTCAATTTGCCAATCTACCAACTTCAATCAAAATCTCGGAGAGTATAGGTGCTTCCCAGTCAGTGTTCAAAGTATTCTACAATGATCCAGAGGGCGTTGCTGTCACCGTTGACATCAGTACACAGACTCCAGTTACTCCCGCCTTCACAGTTGTGAATGGAAATGAAATACACTCTCCTGTCGGGTTAGATTATGATTTGAGTGATCGGACGTACACCTTGACTATAAGGTATAACTACATTATTGCATCAGGTGCAGCCAACGAGCAAGAAATGAAAATAGTTATTGTCTACTCCCAGACAGCCGTTGCCGATGTGTAACATCAACTTTCTACATTCATAGTGATGACAACTGTTATGAACTCCATTCCTCACTTACACTGGTTACTGTTTTTTGAATATACCCTGCCCTAGAGGCTGTTTTGCCCACCCTGCGATATTTTTTTATGTAAGTACCCTACCCACTAAAAACATTCCCTGTTCTTGCAATGTTTTTAGAAATCTGCCCTGCCCACTGGGGGGAGGGGTGCTGATATTAAAAAATAGAGAAAAATCACCTGCCCTCAACAAAAACCCCTTGGAAAGGCTTTTACGATGAACAGCTCCGTTGGCTGCACCTGTTCTGTCATGAATGAATCAATCAGACTATGGTTTACAATCATCAAATATGTGTCTAGTTTGACATCTACGTACGAACGGATCTTAAGATATGTTATTCTGAATTAATTAAATAAACTTGTGTCATCTTTTTCAGAGTTGATGATGGAACAAACACAGATACATCCACGTTGACTATCAATCTATACAATGAAATTGATGAACCACCGACCTTTCCAGCATCCGATTACACTGGTACAATAGAGGAAGAACAGTCGTATGGAACAGTTGTAACATGGACAACAAACCCAGTAGCTGATATGATCGCAAGTTACAACGAAGTCGGTGACAGTAATCTGTATTACGAGCTATCCGGTACAGTTGTTTTACATATGATGCATATAGGGGGGGTCCAAGTGTGTATATTATATGCTTCTATATTACATCATACATATGTTGGAAAAATAAATGTGATTTAACTGAACTAAATCTGCTGTAACTATTATCGCCATTATCGCAGTATTATTGCATTTATTATATAGGCTGTCGTTAGTTAATTCACAATGTGCATGTATGTAATTTATTCATCAGACGCAAGTTTAGCAATACGACAAGTTGCTCAGAATGGATCGTTCAACAACTAGCAACTATTGCATGTATTATTTCCATCACAATGGTGATTGTTTAAAAATCAGACTGATTTTATTAATTGAATTCATTTTGTTATGTACATTCGTCTGTATTTCCTACCTTTGTTATTTTCAGGGACAAATTCTGTCGATTTCAACTGCGACCGGTTAACAGGTGTTATCACAACATCCAGAAAATTAGACGCCGATGACGTATCATCAACAGCGAGCTACTCTCTAACATTAACAGTGGGAGATTCTGCCGGCCATACTGATACTACGACATTAAGCATTACACTGACTGATATCAACGATAATAAACCAATATTTTCACCGTCCTTGTATTATAAGGCAATTGACGAGAATAGTGGGGCTGGTAAGTCACCTAAATTTTAATCGAATAAGCTGTGATTTTTAAATACTAATTATATTATTCATTTTGAATTCAAATTGAACATTGCGCTGTTTATTACAGGTGTCATTGCAGCTACAATGACAGTGTCCGATGACGACGCTGGTGTATTCGGCACAGTAACCCTAACCATTACCAGTGGTGTTACTGCGAAATTTACATTGTCTGGGAATGAAATCTTAACAACAGCAGATCCATTGGACTATGAAACCACTACTAGTTACACTATAACAGTGACTGCAGCTGATGGGGGTGGTGAGATAAGCACAGCTACAGTTATTGTTGATGTAAGCATACATTTCATAGTATGTGATATTGTACATGTTTTACTAGATTGTTACCATATACCAAACAATTAAAATTAAGAATACGTTTTAAAGCATTCATACTATTGAAACAAAGTTCACAAAATAACAGGAAAATATTCATTTATCTTTCATATATTACATTCTATATCAAGATATTTATTATTTATTAATTGTAGGTCGGAAAATTAAATGAATTTCCACCGATTTTCGATACTTTTCCTGCGACTGCTATCACGGTCGCTGAAAACAGCGCGCTTGGTTTTGAAGTTCTAGCAGCTGCAGATATAATAGCAAGTGATGACGATGATGGCTTGGATGGAAAAATAAGTTTTTCAATTAGTGCAGTTACAAGTAAGTTTACTTTAGATATATTGTTTGATTTAACAATATCGTAGTTTGTAAAACATGCACATGGTGATGCTTTATTGCTCATTTCAGATGGTGGTATAAATAAATTCAGCATGGATTCTTCGACTGGTAGAATATTGACAACAAGTACATTCGACTACGAAAGTGGTTCTATTTCATACATTATTACGTGTGTTGCTGCCGATCAAGGATCCCCGGGACCAAGCAGCACAACAAGAAGCTTAACAGTTGATATATCAGATGAAAACGACAACGCTCCTTATTTTGATCAGAACTATTACTCATTGACAATCACTGAGGGTGACGTAATTGATACCGTCATTACAACTTTCAACGTGAACGACGACGATTCTGCAGCAATCACAACAATTAGTTACCAGTTCTACTCCGGTAATGACCTTGATAAGTTTAAGATGGATGATGCCACACATCAATTGAAGATTAAGACATTGGTTAACTTAGACGCTGGTCATCCGGACGTATATGATATAGTACTTCGTGTGCTGGACGGTGGCACGCCCGAGTTAACTGGCACCACGTCACTACACATTAGTGTCACGGAAACAAATGACTATGATCCTGTGTTTGGTACTACAACCCCGATCGCTATTTCCGTGAGTAATTATTTGCACTTGTTGAATGTATGTAGTATTATGCTGCGATCTGCTATCCTCTCGTGAATGGCAAAACTGATAGTAAACTTGTTCAATCTAAGGCTAGTGATGGCTTGGTAAATGTAAGATTCAACTATTCACTGGAATGTTTGTAATTGTATTATTTTTGATTATAGATATCTGAAAATACTAATCTTGGGAGTACTGTAGCTGTTATCAACGTGAGCGATGATGATTATGGTTCGAGTGGCGATGTTACTCTGACAATCACCGGTGAGTAGTGGTCATGAAAATATTTCAATCAAACGATACACTATTAATTTGCATTTTCTAATTAATTTATTTTAATTACTTCACAGGCGGGGATACAGAAAATAATTTCCGTCTGGACGATGGGAATCTAGTGGTTAAAAAGTCAATAAAATACGAAGATACTGGGTCCCCAATTGTGTTAACAATCGAAGCCACTGATGACGGTGCAACACCACGGGTTGTATCAGAAGATATCTCAATCGCTGTCACGAATGAAAATAACTACAAACCAACCTGTTCTCCCAGGAATTATGCTACAACAGTCCCAGAAACAGCCGCCGCATCCGATCCAGTAAGTGCCAATATAGTATTTAAAATACTAAATAAACAAAGCTTAGATAAAATTAATTATTGTATAATAATTATTTTTTTACAGGTTGCCCAAATTGAATGTCAAGATATCGACCTAGACACTTTGACATACACTATAACTGCTGGTAATGGTGATAGTAATTTTGAAGTTGACGGTACCGGTCTCGTAACTGTTGCATCTTCAGGTAAGCTGTACAGGCCCCGATGTATCAACCTGTTGTAAGCTCCATAAACCCTGATGTATCAACCCTTAAATACACGACGATGACGAGTATTGTCTATTTTTCAAACCTTAGGATCCATTATTGACTACGAGTCGGGAATTCTTAAATATTCACTAACAGTTGAAGTTAGTGATGGAGCAAACACGCTCGACGTCCAAGTTACCGCAAATATTGAAGCTGTGAATGAGGACTCCCCTGTATTTGATACAGGTGCATGGACTGTTAATTTAGATGAAGACACTTCTAGTCAGGATATCATAGTATCGCTGGCGTCCTCAATAACTGACACAGACACCGGAGGACATGGTATAGTTGCCTACAAAATTACCTCAGGTTTGTTGCTGACTAATAATTTAAATGAAAAGAGGATATGATTGTAAAGTATAAAAAACACAAATCGGTAAATCGGTTATTGACAGAGCCATTTACAATTTGATTCCTTGTGGTTGTTTTTTACAGTCAGCCCAACAAGTGGGACAAGTAAATTCAGCATTGATGAACGTTCTGGTGAAATATTCCTTTTTGAATCATTGGACTATGAAGAGGAGACTTCTTATGATATTGCCGTTGAGGCTGAAGATGGTGGTGGATTGACAGATGCCGCAATCATTACGATTAACGTCATAGACCTCAATGATAATAGTCCATCATGCTTACAAACAAGTTATTCGGTGAACGTGAACGAACATACATGTGAGTTAACAATGAATGAATAATTTAATATACATGTTAGTTTTTGTTATTTTGAGCATTAACTGTACTGAACGTCAGAAAATCAACTATTGTTCTTTCAAATGATGTCAAATACTGGTCGTATTCTTGCATAATTTCACTAGAACAACATGTCGATGTCTTTTTCAGACACTTACACGGCAGTGAGCATGGCGGATTTAGGGTGTACTGATATTGACTCCGGTACACTAGGGGACTGCGGGATTGGTATATTCTATTATTAGTCAAACACCATGTTGCGAGTTTGATGTTGATGTTAGTGGAGTGTATCTTCTTGGTAAGTACATACTTGGATTTCATTGTACCTTACTACACAGTTGCTGCATTGATTACAAGTTTATAATACACAAAAGTAACTTACATCAAAGCTCATACACCCTCAATTAATATACACATGTATTCAAACTTTTCAGCTGACACTCTGGACTATGAAGCTGATAGACAATACACCATGACTCTTAGGGTTTCCGATGGAGGAACCACACCACCACAAACCCAAGATATTGCAATAAGCGTGACTGTTGATGCAATAGATGAAGGTGCACCCGTGTTTGCTGGCCCGTACAGTACATCAGTCTTGGAAGATGCTGAACCAGGCACTACTATTGAAACATGTATAGCAATAGACCCTGATTCAGATGACACTTTACATGGTCAAGTATCGTATGCAATAACAAATGGTAACACTGCTGAGCATTTTGCAATTGACTCCTCAACAGGAGTTGTCCAAACAATTGATCTACTGGACAGAGAAACAATAGACAGTTATACTTTAGAAATAACCGCAACCGATGGTAATGGAGGCACAGGTGTGGAAACATTAGATATCACAGTAACTGATGTAAATGACGTGGAACCATCGTGTACCCAATACTCGTATGCTCTAGATTTAGATGAAGACACACCAGTTGGTACATTATTCTCCTTAGTATGTACAGATGATGATCCAGCTGATTCTACTTTGACTTACACATTAACTAGTGGTGACGCATTGATGTTTGGTGTAAATACAGTTGGCGACGTGTACTTGCAATCTGCACTAGATTATGATGGTGTAAATAGTAATAGAAGTTATAGATTTGAAATAACTGTTTCAGATGTAGCATCACATAGTGTAGTTATAGAAGGATCAGTATATGTACTTCCGGTCAATGAAGACTCTCCTGCATTTACCACCGGTAAGTAATTTTTTGTCTTCAGTCTAAAAAAAGAAGATGCTGTACAGAATTCAAACATAGTATGTTCATTGAACATGATGGGGCAATTGTTTTTTTCAAAGTTTGGCCATTTTGTTTTAACTAATGTTGATATTTGACATGTCTTGACCGATCACACTCAAATTTTACATATAAATCATTTCTCACTTGTTAAAATTTAATACGACTCGTGTATAAAGATTTAAGATTGAAGTTATTTCCATCTTACACATAGATCATACGTCACATAACACATGATATGCACATTTCCTCATGTGATTATTAAATTTAAGATATCTAAATGGTGTCAATTTCAATTGTATGAATTGCAACAAAATCGAACATTGTTGTCATTCCGGAACTGAATTTCAGTCAAATTTGGTAGGTACATTGAACATGCATGGCACTTTTTCTGATCCAGATATTTTAAAATCGCTAACTCGTGGCAACTAGTATGGTATTCTAGTGCCATATCTTTTACGTGTTTTGTCGGTCAATGCAAAAACTGACAAAAATAATTAACTGACTCCAGTGTGTATCAAGTCGTTCATATTTGATGATAATTTAATAATTCATGAATATATAATGATATACCTCCAGCAAGAAATTAAAATCACACTACTAATGTAATCGTTCATCATACTAACCACATCAGATTAAATTGGCGTATTCCCCGCTTTTCTCTCGGATATTTGGATCATTAAAGACTACTTACCAATTGGGACCGTGTAATTGTCAATGTATTGTGTTCTTAAATAGTGATGACAAGGCATTTAGTTGTGGTTATGTTTGTTCCTCATACAACAAGAGATATGTCCCCAATTAAACAGAGTATTACTATTTATGTATTACCTGACAGAATAGAAATTTAGAGATGTCGTATGTTGTTATATAGTATAATTAAATTCTTTACATTTTCACAGGTTTATACTCGCAGGATGTAGACGAAGATGTGGCAATAGGAAGCACATTACTCACAGTATTGGCCATCGATACAGATTCTAGCGATACAACAGATGGTGTTGTGGTATACACAATTGGGGATGCGTGTAGCTGTCCAGAGTTTCACATGAACAGACACACAGGAGATATAACGTTATTAACACTACTCGATTATGAAACTACTACGTCATACACATTGCCAATAGAGGCCACAGATGGGAGTACGACTGACTTTGCTATTATTGAAATACATGTAATAGATGTTAATGATAATGCACCAGTGTTTCTTCCAGTGTCGTATAGGTAAAGTAATTTGTATGTTCATATATACGTGTATTCTTGGCTGAGTCCACCCTGAGG